CAGGAAGAAGGAGGATCATGTCCGGGATATGGAAAGGGTCTTCGGGATCATGCAGAAGGCCAACATGAGACTGAATCCAAAAAAGTGCGCCTTCGCAGTCAAGGGGGGCAAATTTTTGGGTTATATGATGAGTGAGCGGGGAATTGAGCCTAATCCTGAGAAAGTGAAAGCAATCATGGACATGGAGGCACCGCGGAACTTGAAAGAAGTTCAGAAGTTGACCGGAAGATTAGCGGCTTTGAGCCGATTCATGGCTAAGCTGGCCGATCGGGCCATCCCATTTTTCCGAATAATGAAAAAGGCCAACCCGTTCGAATGGACAGCAGAATGTCAGGCAGCTTTTGAAGAGTTCAAATTGTACCTATCTTCCCCCCTGGTCTTAGCTAAAGCAGACCCAGGGGAACATCTCTACATGTATCTGGCTGTGGCTGATCTGGCGGTCAGCTCTGTTTTATTAAAGGAGGATGAGGGTGTCCAGCGCCCTATTTACTTTGTGAGCAAAGCCCTGAACGGGCCAGAAACCAGGTACACCCTAATGGAAAAAACCATTTTAGCATTGATTGCTACCATCAAGCGACTGACACCCTATTTCCAAGCACACCCAGTCACCATCTACACCACCCAGCCCCTGGCCACCATTCTGAGAAATCCTATGGCAAGTGGGCGTATCACCAAGTGGTCCCTCCTGATCGGGCAGTATGAAATAGACTTCAAGCCTCGCCCCACGATCAAGGGACAGGCTTTGGCTGACTTCATTGCCGAATGCACTGCCAGATCAACTGAAGAAGGAGCGGACGGAGGAGTACATGACCATTGGTGGGAAATGTATGTGGATGGAGCATCCAGTAACAAAGGCTGTGGTGGGGGTGCTGTGATCACATGCCCCGAGGGGTTCAAGGCATACTACTCCGTACAGTTTGACTTCAAGGTAACCAACAATGAGGCCGAGTATGAGGCCCTTATTGCTGGTTTAAAGTATGCCAAGGCCCTGGGGGCCAGCAGATTAAAGGTTCGTTCGGATAGTCAGCTGGTGGTAAGCCAGATTAATGGATCTGCCGAGGTTAGGGAAGAACGGCTAAAAGCCTACAAGGAACTGGTTGAGGAAGAAATCAGCAGGTTCGAACAGGTGGAGATTGACCAGATTCCCAGAATCGAAAACAGTGAGGCAGACATCCTATCCAAACTGGAATGCGCCGCTCGGGATGATCATGCCCCGGGCATCCCTGCACACATCCAGAAGTTCGCACAGAAAGAAATACTGACCACACCAGCAACAATGGTTGTGCGGGTAGATGCCGTGTCCTATGCCGTTCCAAGCTGGGTCACTGACTTGACAAATTACCTGAAGGATGGGACTTTGCCGAACGATAAAAATGACGTGTACAACCTCACTTGTATACAGAGAAGGGCCCCAATGTTCGAACTAGTGGACGGACAGCTGTACAAAAAGACGTTCGGGGGGCCATATCTGAAATGCCTTCCACCCGATCAGGCAGCCGCTGTGATGGAAGAAATTCACGAAGGTATCTGCTCCAGCCATCAGGGGCCAAAAACCCTGGCTAGGAAAATCATCCTGCAGGGTTACTATTGGCCAACTATTCAGCAGGACTGTTTTGGGCACACAAAGAAGTGCAAAATATGTCAGCTCTACGCACCAGTACCTGGGCGGCCCGCGACCTTTTACACTCCAATGACCATATCATTACCGTTCGCTAGATGGGGGATCGACTTGCTAGGGCCCCTACCTACTGCGACCGGAGGAAGGAAGTACATCATAGTAGGGATTGACTACTTCACCAAATGGGTGGAAGCCGAACCCCTGGCCAGTATCACGGAGTTTCAATGTCAACGTTTTGTTTGGCAAAATATTATATGCAGATTCGGGCTCCCCGAGCAGGTCATCACGGATAATGGACGACAGTTTGTGAGCAAGAACTTCGAGGAATTCCTCGCTAGATGGGGAGTCAAGCATTCAAGAGCTTCCGTAGCATATCCGCAGGCGAACGGGCAGGTGGAGAACATGAACAGAACCATCATGGATGGTATAAAAAAGAAACTCGAAGATTACGCGTCAACCTGGCCCGAACAGTTAAACTACGTCTTGTGGACATACAGAACAACTCCCCGAACAGCAACAGGAGAAACACCGTTCGCCCTCGCCTATGGATTTCAGGCTAAGGTCCCAACTGAGGTCTTGGTGCCCACTCACAGAACCATCCACTATGACCCTGAGCAGAATGAGGACAATCTGCGTGCTGAACTCCACTTCATAGAAGAAAGAAGGGATCTCTCAGCTTTACGAATGGAGGAATATCACCGGGCGACTAAGAGGTATGTGGATAAACAGGCTAAAATCCGTTCGATCGAAGTCGGAGACCTTGTCTTGAGGAATAGAGAAAAAAGCAAACCGCTAGAGGGCGGGAAGATGTCAAAGAATTGGGAGGGACCATACCGGGTCTGGAAAAAATACCGGATAGGTACTTTTTTCCTACAGGATACCGAAGGCTGTCCGGCAGGGATATGGAACGCTACGCACTTGCGGAAATTTTATCAATAAAAAACGGCTGTTGCCACCTCTAAAAAAAAAAAAAAAAAAAAAAAAAAAAAAGAGGGAGAACAATGCTTCCACAGAGGCCAGAGTTAAGAGGAATATTGCAAGCCGAACGGCATTAACACGCCGAACGGCATCACCACAAACTCGGCCAAAAGTCTCACCTTGATCTATAGATATCATTTATCTCGATCCATGGGGAGCCATCATCTCAGCACCAAAAAAAAAAAAAAAAAAAAAAAAAAAAAAATACAATGTGCAGGATACCAAGCCCGGACTCGGCTTGGGGGATGGTGTAAAAGATCTTGAGTAGGACGAACCGGGCGGCATCCGAAGTCATAGGGTGACCGAGCGGGGGATCGGGACTCTGGTCTTAAAATCTTGCCTTAGGCATACAGCTCGCCTGAACTTTATGGTGGTGGAACCCGAGCTGTATCCTGAAGGCGAGTCTCCATTTTTGGCAGAGAATAAGGGGGAGACCCGATTTGGGAGCCTTATTTTCAACGGTCCAGGATGGACATCTCAAACTCAGAATATGGATGACCCCGGACGGTAAAACCGACGGTATGCATCGAAATCATGGGCTTGGAAGATGGCAGACACTACACAAATTGTGAAACTGTCTTGCAGCAAGAGGTGATTGCCTTGCGGATAAGAGAAAACGCGGATGGTAACCCGAACAGGTTACTTTATCCTTCAGGGAACAACCAGTCGACGGTAATAAACCGGACGGCATGCATCTGAAACATGGTGCTCGGGGGCGCAGCAAGTATTTAACATTGATGACTTGCGCGTTCAAGGAACAACCAGTCGACGGTAATAAACCGGACGGCATGCATCTGAAACATGGTGCTCGGGGGCGCAGCAAGCATTTAACATTGATGACTTGCGCGTTCAAGGAACAACCAGTCGACGGTAATAAACCGGACGGCATGCATCTGAAACATGGTGCTCGGGGGCGCAGCAAGCATTTAACACTGGTGACTTGTGCGTTCGGAAATAAAGAACAACCGGCGGAAATCAACCGAACAGCTTGCACCTCAACTTTGGTGATTAGGAACGGGTCGAACAGCTTACGTCTCAATCATGATGCTGAGTTCAATAAAAAAAAAAAAAAAAAAAAAAAAAGAGTGTTCGGGAAGCAAGTCATTCGGAAACAGATCAATCTTTATTCTTCGGCACTACTGACCGGGAATTATACATGAAAAAAAAAAAAAGGGGAATTACAACAGAGATAACTAAGCTACGGGAGGATCCTTGTCCGGCACGGCATCCGGGTTGGAGTTCGGGGGATTGGCTGAATCTTTAGCCTTCTGCCTCTTCTCCATCACCCGTTGATAAGCACGGCAGAATAAGGGATCGAAACCTTCCTCCTTGGGGTCGAAGGGCTCATCGAACGATTCCTTGATCACCTCCAGATTCCGGTCGACCAGCATATCCTGGCACTTAACAAGGGTGTCCCTTGCTAGAGCATTGGCGAAGGCTGTCCCGGACGGGGTCTCATCAAGAAGCTTGAGGCCATCATGTAATGGGTCCTTGCTCCTCTCCAGGAATTCGCCCAGATGCTTGCCGAGGAACTCCCGAGCAGTATTTTCTAGGGCGAGGTTCAGGCCTTTCCCCCTTTGGAAGTCAATCACCGCCTTCGTGGTGATTTTTGAAACATCGGCGGCATAGGGGGCGGGGGGATTATCCCCCTTGGCCTTCTCAATTTTCAGGCCAGCAGCTTCGGCAACCTTCACCTTGGCACGCAGATCACGGATTTCCCGATCGCGTCGTTGGAGCCTCTGCTCCAGTTCGGCCAGCTCCTCCCTGGCTTTGTCACCCTTGTTGGCTCGATCTTGGAGATCTGCAGCCATCTTCCTAGCAGCAGCCAAAAGGGTTTGGCTCTCGTCCAGCTCCTGATGTAGGAGGGTCATCTCCCGTTCAGCTGCTAGGAAGGCCCGGTGATAGTATGTACCGGCCTGTGGGAAAACAGCAGTAAGAACAAATCCAGAAAATGTTATGAAAAGGAAGAACTGAACAGTCAAAGGCATACCTTAAGGGACTCAGCATGGCCTGCTTCGACCAAATCAGACCAATGGGTCAGGTTGGTGAAACCCTCTCCAGCCTTCAAAGAAGTGCTGCACCACATGGAGGATGCAGTCTGCCCGAACAGCGTCCGGCATTCGGCTCGGGGGCCCATGGCGGAAAACTCCACCGTCAACCGATCGGGGATCGGGAGACTATCTGAAGCAACACCTCCCATGTTGCCCAGCTTCCTCGAAGGGGAGGGGACCGGAGGCATCCTTTCCACAGAAGGGTCCGTCAAATCAATGACATGATCGACCGGGACCAAGGCTCTGCTCTCAATCCTTGGCCGCTTGCTAACGGGCCCAGATTCCCGGCCAGCGGAAGAACCTGGCCGAATAGCCTTCTCCTTTCCCCTGCTGACTATGGCGGTGGAGGAAGGAGTAGGAGCAGGACGCTTTATGGAAACGGGGGGAATCACACCTACAGGAAAGAACGAAGGGAAATGAACAAGAGGTTGAAAAATACACCGAACGAACAAAGTAAGGGAAGAAACGTACCAATGCCAGCAGCTAACATCTTAGCAGGAGTCAAGAAGGACCGTAGGTTCTTGGAACCAGCCAGACGGAGCCTTTCGTACTGGCAGACGATAGCTGCATCCACCCTTGGGGAGGCATCCTGAACAGGATAGGTGTTCCACCGATCAGGGAAAGGAAGCGGCGACCCCACGTGTACGAACACAAATCGTTCCTCCCATTTTTCCGGAGGGGTGGGGTTGTCGGTGAAAAGCGAACGGCCAGGACGGGCCACAAGCCGCAGGTACCCGGTGGTCCAGTAGGGCTGAACGCCGTAGCAATGCAAAAAGAGATCGGCGCTAGGAGCAATCCCCAGCTCATGGCACCAGACGATAAAGCCGTTCAGGATCCTGTAGGTGCTGGGCACGAACTGTGCCGGCAGTACTGAAACCCGGCGGAGGAACTCCACAATGAACGGGTGCAAAGGGAACCTCAGACCAGCAACTAAAGCATCCATGTGCACAACCACACATCCCGGACGGTGTCGCATGGGATGTTTGATGAACCCCGCATTGAACTGACGGGGTGGAGGCAGTAATTGGCGGAGCGTCTGTTCTGCATCAGCAGGAAGGCGTTGACGTTGCTTCCTGATACAATGGAAGTTCAAACTATAACGGGGGGGGCCGTTCAGGCATGCCCTTATTATAAATGACTAGGTCGTCTCCCGACTGACATCCATCATCAGGGAGGGGCTGTTCGGGATGAAGTGAGGCAGAAGACCCGTTAGAACCCGGCGATCGGGTAGATGTGCCTTGATCTTTGGGGTGAGCTTTTCCCCTGGAAAGGCGAATCAAAGTGGGTGCCATGTCTTCAGAGTCTGACGAACCAGAAAAGGCAGACATTAATTGTGAATAACGGAGAAAATTCTAGAGAGAGAAAGCTTGAAAGAATTCAGAAGCAGCAGAAAAAACTGAAACAAAGTAGCTGCATCCTTATATAAGGAAATACAACCGCCAGGAATTCGAATGGATAATAGACACGTGTCAAGGCGGTTGAGGGAAGTTAAAGCATCCTTTGGGGTGGGTGAACACCCGAACGGGGTTGAAATCAACAAAGTTCACGAACCTCCTAAAACGTTTCGCCGGACGGAATAAGAGAAAAGAGCTACAAGCGCTTCCCCGAACGGGATACACCAAAATATAATGAAGAATGATCGGTGTACCCGAACAGTATGGTTAACACTACATCCCGAATGCTGAAGACAATTACCAAAAAATTTGGCGAGGAAAGTACAGGAGTTTATACCCCGAACAGATGGGGAGAGAAAAAAAAAAAAAAAAAAAAAAAAAAAAAAAAAAAAAAACAGGAAGCAACATAGTTTATACTCCATAATGAACTATGGAGTTCATTATGAATGATATCGAATAAACAGGTCGATCAATATTAAAATCCTAAATTCTGGACTTAGCGAAGGGGTGACGCAAACCGGCAAATCTGATCGCTATAAACTATGGAGTCGAAACAGGAAGAAAGCAACAGGAAATGTATTACAAAGGCAAATTGATGGGTGAGAAAACAAGTATGGAGTACAGGAAAAGAAATTACAAAGACAGAAGTTGCAAAACAAGTTGTGTATTCATCGGCTCTACTGGCCGGAAAGTACAAAAAATACTAATTTAAAGAAAAAGGGTTACAGATAGAGGTCTAATCTATTTGTTCGGGATGGTCCTCACCCTCTTCATCATCGTCTTCGTCAGCTTCTTCGTCTACAGCCTGCACGACCTCCATCCCCAGGGCTCGCCTGCATTTTTTCATTTGTACCATCAGGGCGTTCAGATGACCCGGATGGAGGTCAGAGGGCAAGTCAGAGGGCTGCACCGAACGACCCATCTGTTTTTCTAGGAGGGGGAGGAGAGGCTGGAGCATGTGTTGACAACCTGAATTGTAGACTCCCCGGGCAAGATTATCGGCCCACTCCTTGGTGATAGGGTGCTGATCAAGCACCCTGACCCCCTCCTTCTGGCGCTCTTCCCCGGCCAGTTTCTCCAGGTGCCTTCCGAAGACAGCAGGGAGCTGTTCGGTGGCGTATTCTTCCTTTAGAGCCAGAAACTCCTCGGAAGCTTTGAATTGATCCCGAACGGCAGATAGATCAACTAACATTTCAGCCGGGCCGTCCGGGATTTGAGGAGGGGCCTCAGAAAACTTGACCTGAGCGGCCTCAGCTGCCGCGATCTTGGCCTGGAGAGAGCCCACCTTGACACGGAGCTCCCCGGCCTCAGCTTCTAGCTTCTTCCGCTCCTCGGCAAATGCTCGCCGTTCGGCTTCCACTGCCTGCTCAGCTGTTTCCTTGGCCATCAGCAGGCTTTGTTCCTTGGCCTGCCTGGCCTCTCTGAGTTTCAGGCTGTAGATCCCTACCTATTGATCGAGTACAAATAAGAAATGAGAACCTGGTAAGTTAATGAACAACCGAAAAAAGAGAGGTGATAAAAAATTACCTTCAGGGCAGCCAAGGCAATACACTCTTCGGCCTCCTCGACCGGCATCGGAGGAAGGTTATGCCCATTGAGGAAGCCCGATGTGGACCAAATCTGGCTTGCTGGACAGCCTCCCCTTTCCAGCATTCCATGAGCAGGATCTTGAAGGGAGATCTGCTCAAACTGGCTCGCCAAATCAGCCTGGTTGGCGGCCAGTTCCTCAGCGGAAAAGTGATGAGACTGCTGATCAGAGAAGAGCTGATCCATCAGCATATCAGCATGTGAAGATTGCTGTTCAGGGGCAACCTGCTGCACAGGTTCTACATCCCGAACAGGTTCAGACTGCTCGGGGACGATGGGGGCGGATTGGGAGGATGTCCCCTGATCGGCCTTCCTCAACCTCTTCCTCTTTGTCTTCCTCTGCTGCTTGGGAGGAGAGGTTGGTGGCTCATCATCGAATCCCACAGTGAAGAGCCTGCTGTCATCCATTGCCGGATGTTCGGGGTTGTCTCCTTCGGAATCTGAAGATTCGCCTTGCTTTGGAGCTGAAAAGACAAAAGGGACAAATTAGTACCGAGCGGTTCACACGTGGATTAAAAAGTTATATCACACGGGAAGGACCGCCCGGGCCATGGTACTTGGTTTTCAGTCAAGTAAGTCCAGGAATACGGGCAGTACCTATCCCGGCATTAATCAGCCGTTCGGGAGTCAGGTAGGACATAATTTTGAAGCAGCCTCCTGCCACCACAGCAATGACATCCCTGCTAAGCTCTTCGGAGATGAATGGCTCAGGGGATTTAGGAGGGAATGCGTTCCACTTCCTAGGAATTAAACCGTTCGGGACAGAGACGAAGAAGAACCTATCTTTCCAACCTTTAATGGAAGAAGGGGCATCACAGAACAAAATATGTCCTGGTCGGGAGCTTACCACCAGAAAACCGTGGGACTGCTGGGGGATAACCAAAAAGAAGTAATGGAAAAGTTCTAGAGTGGGTATGACCTTGACATTGTGACAACGACAAATGAAACCAGCTATCGACCGGTAGGAGTTCGGCATTATCTGAGCTGGTACTACATTGTAAAAATTTAAGAAGGAGACAAAAAACGGGTGGAGTGGAAACCTAAGACCGGCCTTAATTGAATCAAAGTGGACCACTACCATCCCAGGGAAATGACGCATTGGGTGAAGCCCGGCCTGGAGTCGGAAATCCACCGAGTCCGGGATCATCATTTGGATTTGGGCCCTATTTTGGGCCGTAAGTTTTTGACGCATCAGCCTAATTAGGGCTAGGTCAAGCTTATGGCAAGAAACGCCGCTAGGGGGACCGGCTTCCATGGCCTCCATTTCACCCCCGGATTTGGTACCATCGGGATAAGTTCCGGATGAGGAGGCATCGTCGTGGGGGACCTCCGCCGGGATAGGAGTGACCTCCAGTTCCAGGCTAGGAGTATTCTCAGGGAGATCAACGTTTGAGGTAGAACACTCGGAGGAACGAAGACGGGTTGCCATACCGATCGAACAAGGAGGATAGAAGAAAAACAAAGGCCAGAAAGTACCTGAGCGAGAACTAAGGAATAGCTCTAGAGAGGATGAATGATAAGCCGGAGATGCAAAGTTTCGAAACCCAGAATCAAAACCAGGAGAGCTTACTTATACTCTGTCACGCCGATTCATCACCCAATCAGAAGAGGACACGTTTTCTGTAATGATGACAGAGACACGTGTCACACAGGGAATCCTTCTCAAGTAATCATGACGTTTATCGGAGAAGCGAAACGGCAGTTGCAAATAACCGTCAGAACATACCTCGGGAACCGGCGGAAGTCCATCCGATACTCACCCGAACAGCATTCGGGCAATAATCTCCTACTTCCTTATGCGCTCACTACCGTTCGAGACATAGGAAGTGGGGGACTAGTGTTGGGATATTGGGTCCAGGCCCAATATCCCTAGGCCCAAATCCGGGAAGAAGCAGCAAGCCCAAAGAACTCCCGAACGGCATTCGGGATAAAACTTATACTTGGAACATTCTGGGTAACGATTATGCCAAGGTATCAAGGCCCAAATATCGATCGGCGTTCGGGATACTTCAGGTAGAAATTATCACCTATGGCGGGGTCCCACACACCGAACACCTTGACCGAACGGGCAATCAGCAAGTGGAGGCCGCATTTAATGCTGGATCATGGCGGCAGCAAGTGGGGGCATGGGTGCTTACATGGCAGAGGTGATAGCCTACCAGATTCGACCACGTGTCCACCTTACCCATCCCCATTTTAGTATAAATATCCATGTTTAGATCATTGTAAAGGGTTAGCATTTTAAGACTCAGAGCTTAGCAATAGATTTTACATCTTCCAACCTTGTAATCTCATATTCATCTACCGTTCGGGTAGTTCTAGTGTAATCACATATTTATCGAATACCAGTAAGCTTCTGAGTTGAACAAATATCTCACTGTTTTATATTTTATACACATTTTAATCCAACCCAATATCCCTACAAAATCCAAGGCTTGTGTTGGGCTTTCGGATCTTCGGGAATAAACCCCAACAATAATTTAATAAACTATTTTTTTTAGATAGTAGTTGGTTTAATAATTTGTTTCTAGAACATCACATTTATAGATGTGTTGATTGTTTATAATACAGACAAATTCAATTATTTAACCATATAGAAATTTAAAAAATATTCTAATTGCTTCTTAATTTTATTAATATTAAAATTGCACTAACCGTTTATTTTTTTTTACAGAACTGCAGCTGGATGAGAAGCAAATAAAGAATTATTGTTTGTTGGAAGTTGAAAAACTTCTACAATATCGTGGACATCTCTATTCTACTATGACGAAAGCCTCTAGTAACGGATCTTGACATTGCCTCTCTTGATGATGTTTTGATACATGAG